AAGCTTGAATTTAAAAAGTGATTCTGCCAGCTGATAGCTTAAAAGATTTTTCAATACTCTTATCAGTATTATCTCTTATATTGCCAGTGACAAAGAAGGCTGCATGTCTCAGATTTGTGGGGAAGCACCTTTGTAAATCCACAGATCTTATATAACCCAGGCCTCATCAAGTTGCTCACGCACACAGGCAGGCTCATTAAGCAAAACCAGGTTTTGCAGCTACTGCATGTAGCATGTAGTAGAAACATAATAACCCAACAAAAAATATTACTTCTTTCTCGATCTAATATATGCCTTATCAAATATCTGTTGCTTTTATAAATAACTCATGGTTGTCCCTTCTCCCCTAACATATGCATGCAACTTCCACATTAGCATTAGTAGGGCTTACATGACTGTTGAACTGTATGATGTATATTCTATTTATAAAGCTTGAAGATCAGAAGTTAGCCTTAATGAGGCCAACAAGCTATGCTTTTCTATTCTTATTAAAGGTAGCAGTTGTATAAATTGTTTTCTTCAATCATTTTAGAGAAGCAGTTTAAAGTAAGTACCGTGCTAATAGTGTAGCCCTAGGTGATTGGGACATCTGAACATTTTAAAATTTTGATTAAATTAGTAAGGGGGAGAAGGAATTTTTAAGAATATGAGCTCATATTCATTACAGTAAGGATTATTAAAACATGGGAAACTCACTAAGGTAAAAATCATTATCTTAGCACAGCAAATTTAATTTGTAATAAACAAGCTCTTGATCATTAATTCTCTCCACTGTACTTCATTCTCTGCATTTTTCAAATTGGATATCTTCTGTAATAAAGACTACTGGAAAAAAAAAAAGTTTCAATTTTTTTCTATAGATTTTACCTTGTATTGAGTAGATAACTGGATAGTTACAGCAGAAAATAAAAGCAAAAATACTGAGCAAGCAATGTCTTAGCAAAATCTTTTCTTCTTAAGAAATATCAGAAGACGCAGATGACAGTGATGAGGGGAGGGTGTTATTGTTATTCTCACTGTTTTGATGTCATTACCATTTTATTTCCATTGTTCTGACATAATCACTTGTTTGTTCTAATTGCACCAATCTCAACAGGATGATATTTGTGTCATTCATCAACATGAATAAATAACTTATGTTTAACTCTGTAATTCATACATGTCAAACATACATACAGTAAAACTTTAACACGTTATAGCATTCAATGCATACATTATCCTATTGCAGTAAATCTTTATTTTAAAATGTATTTGACAGATAGATACACTTAGATGTAGATAATTTGGTACACGTGAAAACTGTGGGCATTGCCAGTCATGGGATGAACCTTTCTTTATGTGACTATATTATTCTGCTTTTACCAAGGTTTTAGCACACTATTTTCAGGCTGAAGCATTACTTCTACTCATTTTCTGTGGATCCTCAAGAGCAGCAGATCAGTGGGAAGTGCAGGGACGGATGGCCATATGCGTAAAATTGTTTTTTTGTACAAGCTCTTTTTCATGCAAGACCTTTCTTGCTGTTGTTACTCAAGCTATGTATTTTGGGATGCTGTGCTGTCTGTTGGGCACTCTGCCTGTTGGTCTACTTAGATATATGCATGACCAATTGCTGCCCTGAATTAAAAGATATGCAATGCTCCAGAATTGCTGGCATAAGGTATAAGCCCAAAACCTAAAATAAAGAGGAACGTTTTTCACACAAGTTTCTCTGTAAATTTCCTATCTTTGCCTGACAGACACATTAACTAGTGGAAATAAAGTATAATGCACTGTATCACAGCTGTGTGTCATTCTGGGCATTCTTGTCTGTGTATACTTGCATTTTCTTACTCTCCCTGCCTATATATTCTCTGCATAGTTCATATACCTGAGTGACTGCCTCATTCTTTCTGTATATATGTATCTATCAAAACCCAGATATTCACATGCTTTAGTCCCATCGTAAAATTTCATAGCTTATTGATATTATTTCACTGATGGCACCTCTACTAAAAATTTTGTTATAAAATAAGTGAAAACAGAAAAGACGGTGCAGGCTACAGTGTGTTTCAAATACAGAAATCTCCAGCAACAAGGAAGAAAATGCCGTTTGCGTTTACAGTGGTCTTTTTAGTAGATGTATACTAGCAATTAATTTGATCTATAGTCTAAAAGGCATTTTATAATTAATTTCTCAGCATTTACCACATACAAGCCATCACTTTAGAGTGCTATGTCATTAACAAAATCCCATTTTTTCATAGAGAATAGGCATACTGATCTACATTTTCCCATGCCGCCTAGCCAGAATGGACTCGAGGGATATTATCTTATTCAGAAAGAACCTTTCAAGGTTGAATAAAAGAAATGGTGCAGGGTCCCTGGGAGAGGGAAGTGATCATCATTTTCACCTTCAACTCTTCTTTGATGTGGCAGAGTCAATTTTTAATCAGCAGCCATCAGACTGGGCTTCATTTCGCCTTACAAAGTCCTATTACTCTGCCACTTTCTGGAAGGAGGTGATAAGGACAATGCTCTTCTTTTTCTCTTCATAGAGCCCCGCATATGATGAGTCCCTTTGGAGAGGTTTGATAAAAAAAAAAAAATGAGTGAGTATGTAGGGATAAAGGTCACCTCTCTGCTAGAATTAACTCTTCAAGACAACAAACTTTTGATTCCAGTGTATTTGTTTTTAGCAATTCTTCTGTATTCCTCTGTATGTAGTTTTTGTGGTCAGCAGTAAAAAGACAAGAGTTAATCCCCATGAAGCTTTTGATCTAAATGCTACTTCAGATTATTGCCCTCCACAGAGAAAAAAAATAAATTGAAAAAAACCCCTCCCAAATAAATGCACACGCACCCCTCGCCCCCCCCAAATACATACCACAGACACTCAACTGCTCCAATACTAAGTGGACATTCTGAAATGAGCAACACGAAGGAAATTACATAATATGAAAATACACCTATTTTTATCAAAGCATCTTAGAGTTATCCTTTATTGCAAGAATACACCATGGATCCTCACAGATAAATGACGGCAAAGATATTCCCTATAATCATTGAAATTGAAAAAAAAATCCCCCCTCTGGAGGTGTTTTTTATGTTAAATAAACCTAAATTATTTTTTAAACTATGCATTCATGCAGAAAAAAACCCTCTATAATCTCTTAGTATCATTTATTGTAGTCAGCAGTCTTAATTGCCTCCCTGAAATGGATCAGAGTTCTGGGAATTACACATGAAAATGATGTTACTGCTCTCCAGTCTTCACATTCCTTGATATAATCTCATTAAAAATATCAAGCCTCTAGGTGAGGGAATACATATGGATGCTAAACGCATTTTAAGCAGGAGCACCTAAACTGATGACCTAGTTATTACAGAACAAAGCAGCCGAAGATGAATTTTAATGCCGAAGTAAAGCATTTTTTGGTTATTACTATAATTATGATGTTTTTGGGCTGAATTTTCTTATTACCCCTAGAAAAAAAATTATAATTCTGAACCAATCAAAACAGGGAAATGATATTTTTGGTGCAACATAAACACTTATTTTCCAGTAGACCACACAATTTTTAAAAAAAGAAAAAGAACCCAGTATAGCCCGACAGTTTCATTAGCTATAATTACCATAAAGAGATGGGAAAAGGCATATGCCAAGTTGCAATTTTTGTTTCAAAAATGCTAACTGTGTTAAGAAAAAAAGAAAAAAAACTCTAGAGAAAATAGACTCATCTCTTCCAGGCAAATAAATGGCAAAGGAGAGGAGAAGTTATGCTGAATTCTACACATGAAATAAATAGATTTTAGAGAATTGGATTTCCTTTTATAAATTTCAAAGAATAATTCTGCAAGAACTTTGTATGGAGCCTGAAATATCATATGTGCTTTGTGATCTGTTTTGTTACAATTAAAAAAATCATTTTTTCTTTTGTGCAGATTAATAGAGGCAGTATATGGACTGGCCTCCAAAGCAAGCAGTTAAAAATATCTGAAATATTTTTATTATCAGTATTATCAGGTCAGCTGTGTGTGAGTCCCATGGATTATGCCCAAGACACAGAGCAATATAAATTAATTTGACGAAAAGTATGACTGCTATGTGACACTATGCTTTGGAAACAAATGGTCATGAACACCTTCTCAGTGACTGAAATAGATATATATATATAAAAAAAAGAAGTAACCTAACTGCATATGAGGCAGTATTGTTATTTGCATATGATAAACTGAGATTTCAGAGGTTTATAAGCCAAGTGTTGAAACTTGTTTTTCAGAAAAAAACCCACAAAAATAATAATAAAAACCCTTTTTCCCCACCCCCCTTCTTTAGTAGTGTCATTAGTTTGTAGTCAGAAATGGCCTGCTTGGGGGATTGGTGACACAAGATAGTGAATTTCATGTCATGGCTGCCAGTTCAGATCTGTCATGTGTACATGAGAATAATTATTCTCTGATGGCTGTTGAGTGACTTGTGTTATAAGTAGCAGTATCACAAGGAGTGATAGTGTGCACTGTAGTGGAAGTCTTGGCAGGGAAGGCTAAGGATTATATGAGAAAGAACACTGAATTTCCTTTTTCCTCTCAGGAACTATTCCTCTCAACTAGGCTGCTAGTTTGCAGAAGCTTCCAGATTTACACCTTGGAGAGGTTCTTTTGGATATGGTACCATAACTAAACAGTGAAGAAGCCTTCTCTCACCTGACAACTTCTAATAGTGTTTCACATAATCTAAAAAAGAAGGATCAAACTTCATCTGAATTGAATGGATCAGTCCTTATTACTTTGCCTAGACCTATGAAGTTGTGTGAATATTTTACTGCACTTTCACATGACCAGATCTCATTCTGTGTTTGGATAAAGCAAAGGGAAGGCAAAGAGGTACCTCAGACAGAATCACCTGAGAGGGATTAGCTACGGCAATTATATGAGCTGAGATAATAACTTCTCCCTAGCACTTGGCTATATGAGCATTTTTTTAACCTTTAAAGTTTATTGTGGTCCTATTTTTTAAGCTTTAGTTTAACATTGCAAGAACTACAAAGACAGAGTATTGACAAAAAGTCTTATTAAAGATCAAGGTCAGCAGACCTGCCAAAAGGCAAACTTTTGATATAACATTCCTCATATATAATCTCATGATTTTGAGTTTCTATCATGGTTTCCTCACAGAAATATAGCTCAGTGGGATCTGAAGCTGAGGGCAAGACTCATATACTCAGTGGGTGACGCAGTGGGGTTCAGATCAAACAAAAGCTGTTAGGTAGCTGCTTAAGCTTTGTAACCTCTAGGATTGCAATACCTCTGGTCATTAAGATACTGTCTGGTCATGAGCCTCGGAGCATTATATGGTACAGACTGTCTGCAATACATGTCTTACTCTTGAGACTTGTTGCCTACTGCTGTGCCTACAGACTGGGGATCTGCCCATGTCAGGTCTGCAGACCCAAGCACCTAAAGGGCTCCTTATGTGCTTGAAAGGCATTGACGAGATGTAGGAGATAGAAGCAAATGTAGTGGTCACTCTCAGCCACTCTTCAGATTCCAACTTTCTCACTGAATGTAAATTATTTTAATGTCCTACATAGTCACAGTCTAAAGGAGATCTAAATCTAATTTAATTTGTAGTCCAAGTCTCTATGCACAGCACAGTCTTTCTGCTGCTGCTGTATTATTGCTCTGGACTACTGTCAGAGAAAACTATCTACAGAGATGCTTACGAATTTCCTCCACACATTTCAATCAGAATTCAGCTGGTTAAATCTTAGAAATTAATTAGTTATTCTAGAACATTTTTATTTAAATAGATTAGTAAACTATTACAAGAACAGTGGAGCTGGTAGAACAATGTAAGCTATAGTGAAGTCATAAATCAGTAAGGTTATAACCTTTCTCAGATAGCACATGTGCAGCAAGAAGTATATATTTGTCCACAACTGGAAAGACTTGAAGATCTATCAGAAGTAAAGCAGGAACAACTGAGGTACCCATTAATCTCAGAAGAGAGACAAACTTCTAAGCTGTGTATAGGGCTGTCATTTAATGCTCATTTAATGTAAAGTGGTAACCTCTGACCATTAACAAAAGCATGAATGCTGTTTTCAGGAATGTGAAGTGTCTGTCATGCACTTTGAAAACGAAAACCTTTTCAAACAAAATTTACATGAAAGTCAAGGTTTATGTTAAAAGAATGTTGCTCAGATTGAAGAGTACTCAAAATTTAGAAAATGTAAAAGTTAGGTAACATAAGCATGTGTAAAATAACATGCAAACCCTAATGATAGGATCACATACTTAAATCACCCTCAGTGGCCTCATTTTATCTGTTGTCCAAGACAATCCTTGGGAATGGAACTCTTCACCTTTTATATTCTCACTGCTGTCGGTTGACCATAGACCTTACTGAATGCACACTGCCCACATTCTGTTCTGAGGACACAAAGGTTGAGTTCCATAGTGATTTTTCTGTGGCTACTCATTAATGTTGCATATTAATCAAAATATTAACCAATGTGTTTCCTGTGATCAGAAGTGATAAGTTGTTTAACTATTAGGGAATTCACTATAGAGTGGCTTCATCTATTTTGGTCAAAGATAGATACACCAAATCCTCTGCAAAGGTGAGCAAAAGAAATTAAAGTCAGAAATACACTGTAACTTTAGAAGACCAGTTTGAGACCTCAGAACCCGATTTTTAAGGCTCTCCACCATTACATTGCACTTCATACACGTGGTACACAGGCCTACAAGTTAATCAGTCCTGTAGATCACATACTAATGTTTTTCCTTCCCAAAATGAAGAATACATAACTATGGATTACATTTTGAAAACCTGGTTCAATTAACTTGACTAACATCACATAGCAACTTGAAGCCACTTCATCTTGCCCTTAGCAACTTTGCAAGAGAGGCAGAGCCAACACCAAACTCAAGATAACTCTGTTACTATTGCCATAGGTGAATATTTCTTTCTTTCTTACTGGAGTTACTGGGTTTTATTTGAGAACCAAATTGATTAACACTGTTACGCCATTTGATAGTCTTTTACACTTGCCAGCACACTTTGTCTCAATTACATTCCTAAGGTCTTGACTTCCCATCCCTACAAGGAGGTAGCTGCTGGTTGTGTCAATTCTTACTCTGAAGCTGCTCACCATTCCAATCTTGGATGTCACCAATAAAGATCTTTCTGTGTCCCATGATGTTCATCTTACTCAAATTCCATGAACTTTTCTTCTGCCACGGCCTTCACTTTCTTATTTCAGACTCCCTTTTTTTTTCTGCAGCCAGTTCTTCCTTTTGTAAACCATCCTTTTGATTCCTAGGCCATGGGTTTTCTGGGCTAAAGAGTCTACATGCAGAAATGCAACGCATGAGCAGCCTTTTAATGGATAGTTCTATCTCATGTCTCTTTGCTAATTGGAGGATTTAGAATGTGATGCTTTTGATTAGCAAGGTGAACTGTTTTCAAAGTTTACAATCACCACCTACCTGCAACTAATGAGTGATAAGCTTCTGCAAAATTGCCAAAGTGCCAAAGTTCAGTTTGGGGCATTGTCTGCTTACTCCCTGTTCGCATACATCCAACTGTCTTCCACTTATTAACATTCAGTTTTAATTATTTTTTCACCTATGACACAGTGCATGTTAATTTTTAAGAGGTTTGTAAATTTTTGAAGTTTGGGAAGATTTTTCTGGAAATTTAAATCCATTATTTGATAGTGCCTTCCTATCGAATGCAATGTCTTTGTGCTAAAGGAAGAAAAATGTTAAAAGAGAAACTTTTCTATATTTTTTAGCATCAGAAACATCAGAACTGTTAGGCTGATATCCAAGTAGTTCAATATTTTCCGGTTTGTACAGATGAAAGATCAAAGTTCCAATTAGCCATAATAGTATATGTTTGTGATGGGTCAGTCTTTATGCCTCAGAGAGAAAACAGGAGTAAAGAAGGTCCCTTTTAGTAGATATAAGACAAATTTGAATCCTAAGGGAGGACTAACTAAATAATAGCAATAACAGAGTTCCTCACAGTATATTTAATAATTATTACTTTGACACTTCTCTCACACCTTTGTGACTTTTCCTAAGTTTATTTGTTATAACTTCTAGCACTGGAAAATATTAGTTAGAACTATTTCTAACCTAGGATCACAACTATTTCCAGAATACACTTTACAAATAAATACTTGGGTGTTGAAAGCAAGCTATTAGTTGGTCATGTAGCCACATATCCAATGCCTCACAAAATATTTTGGGGATAAAAAGCTGACTTCTGAAGTTTTAAAATACTAGTGGATATTTATCTCTCTTCCTGTCAGAATCACCTCCATATTCATAAGTAGCCAAGCCCAATGTAAGTAAAGATTTGGTGATAGAGGGGATCTGTCAGAGGCAAACCTTCGATTTTTATTGAATTGCTACTTCCAGCTTTCCCAGACAAAAAGAAAAATATTAACTTGGTGGGGGGTTGTCTTTTTTCCTGAAAAAAAAAAGGAAAAGAAATTGCTAATATTTGTTTACCACCAGTGGAGAATGAATGTATTCCATATTTAGACAATTTGCCTTTTGTGCACTTTTGTTGACAATACTCCTACCTGGGTTTGAGATATGCCAGATCTTAATGACAGCAGTTTCACAGTACAGGGCTAGTGGCATTTCCCTGTTCCAAATACCTTAGATTAACCTCAGACTTACTGTATCTTCAGTTCCCAGTGTAAATACCTTCCAATATTGCAACAGAATATGTGTTGTTAAGACTGTAATTTCTAATCATACATAGTTTTTCTCATATGTTAAAGTTGTTTTCATCACTGTTTTCATATATTATCAAAGATTCCTCAGAAAAGAAAATGTTTTGATGCATTTTGACATCTTCTAATTCTTGGAAGTGTTCAAAGCCAGGCTGGATGGTGGCCTGAGCAACCTGCCCATGGCAGGAGGTTTGGAGCTCAATGATCTTTAAGGTGCCTTCCAACCCAAACCATTCTATGATTCCATGATTAAAAGTTCATTTCTTCACATTACTTTTTAATTTAAAAACTTGGTGAATGTCTGTTTTATTTCAGATCATTTTATCAGAATTTCTTATAGCAATCTTCTCTGAATGCCAAGTATAAATTGAATTCAGCGCATTCATTAGACAATAATATATTTAGAATGATGTTGCACCTTTATTTTCACAATTTAAAGTTATTAATATATCAAAATGATCTTAACATTGAAAACTCATTGTGAAACAGATGTAAATACTGAAATGTTCCCTTATTTACATCAATGCCTCATATTGTGGATTTAATGAAATGAATTATTTTATAATGACAGAACCTGTATGTCTCAAAGTTTAGTCTTGAAAAGACATTAGGAACACAGTCTAAATCACACAAAAATATTGACAGTACTTTAACCACTCTGTAATTTTTAGAACTTTGTTATGCTACTAATATTTGTTACTTGCAGACTTGGAGAAATATTTTTAGCTAACTCACTCACCTTTCCCCTAGGAAGAAGTATGGGATTTAGGTCAACAGTTAGGTAGCTTTCTATACAGTAAAAAAAATATTAGTACCCTATTTTCTTCCAAATCCTGAATATACATAAACGACACTAAAAGAAACTGAACCATACCCTTTTGAAGATTTAGAGGACTGTTGTTAAGTGCCTGGAAAGGAGAAAAGAAGAAAAGAGCCTGAAAGAGAGAAAGAAAGCAAGCCAGAAAAGAGCCAGCCAGGCTGACGTGAACATTCAGATGGGATGCTACCCTTGGAAGGTTAGAAAGTTAGTAATTGGGCTGTCTTTCTGTCGTGTATGAATTATGAAATAAGCCAGTCCTTAGCTGCATAAGGACCTAATATTTATTTGAAAAGTACTTTATAGAAGGAAAAAATAATGGGTTCAGTTTATTGTTATGTAAATATTTTAGGTTAAGATATCCTATTGCAATGCAAATGTATACTATTGTTTCTTCCTGTAGGATAACTTTTGCAAAGGCAACTGATGGAGTCAAATAAGGTTCTCTAATTTGGCTTTGATGAAGACAGTCAGTCAGTCAAGTTCTGCCTCTAGAAAACAGTCGGAGCAAGTACAGATGTCAGGTGGAGAGTTCCTTGTCTGATGACCTCCATGCTACTGAGTAAAAGTCAAAAGCTGCTTCAAGTACCACTTGTAAGGATCATGGACACTGA